TGTAGGATATGGGAGGGCTTCCGATTAATCAAATAGGTAGCTGAGAGGATAGTCTCTCTCCAAAGATATTTTGGTACATGATTGGTCAACATGAGAGATTTGGCAACCTCAAGGATATGTCTGTTTTTCCTTTCGGTTATGCCGTTTTACTGTGGAGTATAAATACAAGAACTTTGATGAATCATGTTCAATAAAGTATTTTTCAAGAGTATTTTCAAAATATTTACAAGTATTGTCGGATTTCAATACTTGGATGGTAGCATGAAATTGAGTTCGAATCATTATATGGAATTTTTTAAATAGGGATCCCACTTCAGATTTTTCATTCATGAGACATACTCAAGTAATTCTTGTATGGTCATCAATAAAAGATACAAATCACCTAATTCCGAAAACATTAGAAACCCTGGAAGGGCCCCAAACGTCATTGTGAATTAATACAAATGGTTTAGATGGTTTATATGGTGGGTTAGGGAATGAACTTCGAGTATGTTTAGAAAATTGGCAAACTTCACACTGTAATGAAATTGGATCTTTTCCTTTAAATAGTAGTGGGAACATCTTTTTCAAGTACATGAAGTTTGGATGTCCTAATCTATAATGGCACAACATAATATCATGGTCATTATTTCCGGAAATAGAAACAAAGTTTTCACATTGCATTGTGAGCTTGTCTTTTAGAAGTGTAAGCAAATATAATCCTGAGCTCATCATAGCACTGCCAATCGTCCTCCCCGAGTCTAAATCCTGAAAATTACACATTAGAAACAAATTTCGCAGCACATTTCAAGTCTTCACATAGCTTGCTGACAGATAACAAATTACAATCTAAATTTGGAACATGTAGAACTGAACAGAGAGTCAAATTTGGAGACAAATTTATAGAGTCCATTCCTGCCACTTTTGAGAGAGAACCATCTGCAATTCTAATTGAAATATTTTCTTTACATCTTTTGTAATTTTGGAACATTGAGAAATCGCCACTCATATGATCATATGCTCCAGAGTCTGCACTCACACTTGTCCTTTTTCTGAAAGAACAGATAAGCCATGAATATTACCTCTATGTGCCACAGAGGCACTGACCGGGTGAGATTTCTTGGACAAAATACGTTGGAGGGCTTCCAACTGCTCAGGGGTAAATGGATCTTTTCCCATCTCCTCAGAAATTATTTCCTCAGCCATCACGTGATTTCCTTGAAGCTTGTTGGAGGTCTCTGCTTTCGATGTTTTTCACTCACCCGAATGTGGTTTCCAGTCACTTGATTTGCCGTGAAGCTTCCAGCAACGTTCCTGAGTGTGCCCTAGCTTCCGACAGTGGTTGCACCAGGGCCTTGTCTTTTTCGTTCGACTGTCAATCGCTCGGATTGTGAAAGCTGAAGAGTTTTCAGTCGGGTAAGGTTGGTCATTCTCTCCCATCATGATCTTCCGACGACTCTCCTCACTTCGAACTTCAGAAAACACTTTTCGAAGACTCGACAAAGGTTTGGTGCTCAGAACATGTCCCCGAATCGCGTCGAGATTTTTGAAGACCCACTTTTCTTCCACGAAAGCTCTGAAGTTTTTCGCGTCCTCGGGGCAGTTCCAGCGACGCTCCTCGAAGGTGTCCATCTGTTGCCAACTTCGATTAAAGATACTGTAATACTGGGTGACATTGAATTCTTCTTACCGAAGATCATGAAGAGTTGACTCGATTTCGAATATTGTAGAGGTATTTTGCTTGCTAGAGTAGAGTTCTTGTGCTGCCTTCCAGATTTTGTGAGCAGTTTCGTAGAGAAGGAAATTCTTTTCGATTTCAGGGGTCATTGAGGTGATAAGCCAGGACATGACCATACTGTCTTCGATTTCCCAGGTTTGTGCATTTGCATCGGACGCTGGAGGAGGCATGAGCTCGCCAGTGAGGTGCCCATAACGCCCCCTTCCGCAGATGAAGAGACGGACAGACGACGACCATTGAAGGAAGTTTATGCCATCGAGTTTATGTCCTACAATACAGGATGATGGTAGCTCACTCACAGCTCTGGTTGTTGCTGGTTGTTGCTATATAGTGATAAGAACTAGAGGAAACTTGGTGGAGAGGATAGAAGCTCACCTGAGGCCATTTCTGATTACGGCTCAGTAGGGTTCTATTTCTTCTTGGATCAGATAAGCTCTGATAACATGAAGAAAATTGAGAGAAAAAATATTCTTCTATTTCTTGATGAATGATTTATACATATATATACAAATCTACTACTTCTAACAGCCTAACAAATTTTGGAGAAATCCTAACAAAATTCTGGTTTGAAGAAGAAATTTGTTGGTGATACCCTCCATGTACAGCACATAACAGCTGTGAATAACCCTATTTAAT